TTCTTTCTTTCTTTTTTTAAAAATATATTTTATTGATTTTTTTACAGAGAGGAAGGGAGAGGAACAGAGAGTTAGAAACATCGATGAGAGAGAATCATCGATCAGCTGCCTCCTGCACACCTCCCACTGGGGATGTGCCCGCAACCAAGGCACATGCCCTTGACTGGAATCGAACTTGGGACCCTTCAGTCTGCAGGCCGACACTCTATCCACTGAGCCAAACTGGCCAGGGCTGTCATTATTTCTTCAAATAGGTTTTCAATATCTTGCTCTCTCTCTTCTTCTGGCACCCCTATAATTTGGATGTTGGTACGCTTGAAGTTGTCCCAGAGGCTCCTTACACTATCTTCATATTTTTGAATTCTTTTTTCCTTTTGCTTTTCCGTTTGGGTGTTTTTTTCTTCTTTGTATTTCAGATCTTTGACTTGATTCTTGCGATCCTCTAGTCTGCTGTTGGATCTCTGTATATTATTTTTTATTTCAATCAGTGTATGCTTAATTTCTAATTGGTCCTTTTTCATATTCTTGAGGGTATCACTATATTTCTAGGAGGTTTCTATGAGTAGCCTTATAACCGTGGTTTTGAATTCTATATCCAGTAGTTTGCTTTCCTCCATTTCTTTCATTTGTGACCTGTTTCTTTGTCTCTGCATTTTGACTGCTTCCCAGTGTTGATAGAGTGGCTTTGTGTGCTAGGTGTCCTATAGGGTCCAGTGGCTCAGCCTCCCTAATTACCTGAGGTGGACACTCTTGGTGCACCCCTTTGTGGGCTGTGTGCACAGTCTTGTTATAGTTAAGCCTTGATTGCTATTGGTGTCACTGGGAGGAATTGACCTCCAGGTCAATTGGCTGTGAGGACCAGTTGTCAATGGGAGAACTTCTGTGCTGGAGACACCCTTATGGGGCAGGACTTGCTTCAGTGGGGCTTTGGTGCTCACTGAGTCTGCCCTCTAAATGTGTCTCTTATGGATGTGAAGAGTTGTAATCTGGATGGTCTCACTCTGATCACTGGGTAGACTGGCTCTTGGATCTCCAAGGAGGTGCAAAGTCCGCCACTGCCTGATGCCACCCAGCAGGAGCTACAGAGAGATCTGCAGATTCCTCCCCTTTGTTTGGGGTTTGGAGATGCCCAGATGAGGCGCAGTGTGGAGTAATGCAGGCTGCTGACAAGCCTTAGGCCAGTGGTTCTCAACCTTGGCTGCACATTAGAATCACCTGGGAATCTTTTTAAAATCCTGATTTCTAGCCAAAACCGGTTTGGCTCAGTGGATAGAGCATCGGCCTGTGGACTGGAGGGTCCCAGGGTTCGATTCTGGTCAAGGGCATGTACCTTGGTTGTGGGCACATCCCCAGTGGGAGATGTGCAGGAAGGCAGCTGATCGATGTTCTCTCTCATCGATGTTTCTAACTCTCTATCTCTCTCC